GTTTGTGACGCGCTCATACTGGGCCTCCGAGGCCTTTTTACCAGCCTGGATGGTGAAATCCTCAAAACAAGTTATTCTGTACAATCCTCACTTGGTTACAAGAAAACTTTTTTACGTGAGGCCTTTTCGAAGACCATCAATATTTTGTAACTAGTAAAAGGTAATCAGCTTGCTAATTGGTTATCAGATACTGGATTATGAAGCAAAGAAGGCATGCGTGAACTTCTGCTTTCCTCAGAATTTTTAAATTTGTTCTCACAAGACACTTTTTTTTTTCTTCCTCCTTTTGTATAAAAGAACCGGATAATTATAAGGGAAAAATGCTTCCAGCCCCCAAAAGCTAAGGAAACGTGCTTCTCACCCTCAAGACTTGGTCAATGAGTGTTTTACCCCTAAAAATAAAGATTCTGTTCTCTGAGCCCCCAAAACACAAAACCCAAAAGATTAAAATATGTGAAGACCATAATACTCTTCTCCCTCTCTTTCTTTTTTTATTAAAATATGATGAGAATTATTTTATTATTTTCATTTTCTCTCTCTCTCTTTATCATAATGTACTAAGATGATAGTTGAAATGATTAATGATGATTATTTTATTATTTTTATTTTTTATTATTTTTGTTGTTTGTATTGAGAGATTGTTAAAGTTACGGGTTAATTGTTAAGGCTACGAGTTAATTGTTAATGTTACGGGTCAATTGTTAAGGTTATGAATCCTCTCTCTCTCTCTATCATGATGTTACTTTGATAATATTGAAATGATTGAAGAGGATTATTATTTTATTATTTTCGTTTTTTATTCTTTTCGTATTTTTAGAATATTCGTTGTTAAGGATAATGGTTGGTTGTAAAGGTTATGTATTATTTATTAAGGTTACGGGTTGGTTGTTAAGGTTACGGGTTTGTTGTTAAGGTTATGAGTATGTTGTGTAGGTTACAGATTTATTGTTAAAAGTTACGGGTTTAATTGTTAAGGTTACGGGTTTAATTATTAAGTTTACGTGTTTAATTGTCAAGGTTCAGGTTTAATTGTTACGGTTACGGTTTAATTGTTAAGCTTACGTGTTTAATTGTTAAGGTTACGGGTTTAATTATTACGATTACGAGTTTAATTGTTAAGGTTACGGTTTTAATTATTAAGGTTACCGTTTTAATTGTTAAGGTTACGTGTTTAATTGTTAAGGTTACGGGTTAATTGTTAAGGTTACAGGTTTAATTGTTAAGGTTACGTGTTTAATTGTTAAGGTTACGGGTCAATTGTTAAGGTTATGGATTCCTTCTCTCTCTCGTAACCTTAACAATTAAACCCGTAACCTTAATAATTAAACCGTAACCTTAACAATTAAACCGGTAACCTTAACAATTAAACCCATAACCTTAATAATTAAACCGTAACCTTAACAATTAAACCCGTAACCTTAATAATTAAAACCGTAACCTTAACAATTAAACCCGTAACCGTAACAATTAAACCCGTAACCTTAACAATTAAACCCATAACCTTAACAATTAAACCGTAACCGTAACAATTAAACTTGTAACATTGACAATTAAACACGTAACCTTAACAATTAAACCCGTAACCTTAACAATTAAACCCGTAACTTTTACAACAAATCCGTAACCTACACAACAAACCCATAACCTTAACAACAAACCCGTAACATTAACAACCAACCCGTAACCTTAACAAACAATGCATAACTTTTACAACCAACCATTATCCTTAACAACAAATATTCTAAAAATACGAAAAGAATAAAAAACAAAAATAATAAAATAATAATTCTCTTCAATCATTTCAATATCATCAAAGTAACATCATGATAGAGAGAGATAGATAGATAGAGAGAGAGAGAGAGAGAGAGAGAGAGAGAGAGAGAGAGAGAGAGAATTCATAACCTTAACAATTGACCCGTAATATTAATAATTAACTCGTAACCTTAACAATTAACCCGTAACTTTAACAATCTCTCAATACAAACAAAGAAAATAATAAAAAACAAAAATAATAAAATAATAATCATCTTCAATCATTTTAATATCATCAAAGTAACATCATGATATATATATATATATAGAGAGAGAGAGAGGATTCATATATAACCTTAACAATTGACCCGTAACATTAACAATTAACTCGTAACCTTAACAATTAACCCGTAAGTTTAACAATCTCCCAATACAAACAATAAAAATAATAAAAAATAAAAATAATAAAATAATCATCATCAATCATTTCAACTATCATCTTAGTACATTATTTTTTTGGTAAATGAAAAACTTTTATTCATCTGCCAAAAATATGGAAGTTATGTACATCACTATCTCAACAAAGAGAAAACTCATTCCTAAAAAAAATTACAAAGATATTAACCAATCTTTTTGTTCATCCGTGATGTTGCTATTCAGACATATGGTGAAGATATCAGTTTTGATGATCTTTACCAACTGATCAGGATTTCTGCTCACCTGCTGAAAACATCTCCTGTTCCTCTCCTCCCAAATTCTGTACACCGCATCTGCTAGCACCAATCTCTTAACTCTTATCTTGAATCCCTTCCCTCTCAGTCTTGTGATATACCAATTCATTAGTAAGTTCCAATAACATGTTTGCCAATCAATTCTAAGCCAGTTAATGATGCCCAGCCACACAACCCTGGAAAAATTGCATTCAAAGAATAAATGGTCTCTATTCTCAGAACCTGCACACAGGTAACACTGATTTGAATTGATGACCCCCCTTCTTAACATTCTGTCTTGAGTTAGTAACCTGTTCAGCACCGCCAGCCACAATATAAACGAGTGCCTAGGGTAATTCAAACTTCCCCATACTGTGCTAAACCAGGGAACTTTTGTAGTGGCAGGGGATAATACAGCATATACTGCTGACAGCTTGATTTTAGAATTTTTGTAACAACCATTTAGCAGTTTCTTCAGATTGTCTACTCCACCCACTTCATGTAAGGCCTTATCCCTACACTTAAGTATCTGCTTCCACATCCAAGAGTCTCCACTTTTTGCTTTAACATTCCAAACATCACTATGCTTTAAATAATTACCATGGACCCATTTCACCCATAAAGTTTCCTTATTGACATGGATATACCACAAACTCCTCATAGCAGTGGCAAGATTCCAATTAGCTGCAGAATAAACCCCCAGACCACCATGAATTTTCCCACAGCAAACCTTATCCCATGAGACCAATGGAGTTTTTGAAGAGTTTTCAGATTTACCCCACAGGAATTGCCTGCAAGCATCATCAATTTTCTTCACTACTTTAACTGGCAATATAAAATTTGTTGTCCAGTAATTTTGAATACCCAAAATCATACTTTTGATAACCTGAATCCTCCCTGCATATGATAAATTGTTGTGTCTTGACCACTTCTGAAATTGATTTGAAATACTTTCCAGCAAAAGGTTGCAATCCACATGTGTAAGCCTCTTGCAAATGAGAGGTACCCCCAGGTATTTGAATGGAATGGCCCCCTCTGAGAACCCTAGGAAGTCTTTGATCTCTGTCTTAATAGCATCATCAACCCCACCAAAGTAAATTGATCATTTATCCAAATTAGCTTCTAGACCTGTTGTGTCATTGAATTCCTTAACACATTGATATAGTTTTTGTATGGAATAAAGATCTCCTTTGGCAAAAAGTAATAGGTCATCCGCAAAAATGAGATGAGTAATTTTGAGTTTACCACACTTTGGGTGATACTTAAACAACCTGTCCTTTCTTAAAAGCTCCAGTCTCCTTGATAAAAATTCCATCCCAAGAATAAAAAGATAAGGTGATAGGGGATCACCCTGCCTTAAACCCCTCTTTCCTTCAAAATAGCCATGAAGAGATCCATTAAGTGAGATAGAGAAATTTGGTGAAGTGATACAAGCCATAATCCAGTTGATCATCTCCTTTGGATATTTCAGCCCTTCAAGCATCATTTTAACAAAGTCTCAGCTTATTGTATCAAATGCTTTCTTGATATCAATACTCAACATGATTCTAGGAGATATGTTCCTTCTACTATAGCTTTTTGCTAGCTCATGAGCCATGGCAATATTACTTGTAATCTGTCTATTTTTGACAAAAGCACTCTGTGCTTCATTCACAATGCTCCCCATGATTGGCTTAATCCTATTTGCTAGAATTTTTGAAATGATCTTGTAAATGCAGTTGCAGCAGGATATGGGCCTGAAATCAGCTGGGGTAACTGGACAGTTTTTCTTTGGCACCAGTGTAATGGCAGTTGAGTTAATCATACCCAATAATTTTCCATTCTTAAAAAACTCTACAATAGCAAGTGTTACCTCCTCCCCTATCACAGACCAGGCAGATTTATAAAAAGCAAACCCATATCCATCTGGCCCAGGTGCTTTGTTTTCATCCATTGAAAAAACAATATTCTTTATCTCATCTTTAGAAACAGGTCTTGAAAGAGAGTTAGCTTGAATCTCATTTAAACAGGGTCCAGCTTGTATAATATGTATATCAGGTGCTGTAGTGACTGGAGCAGTCCCCAAAAGGCCTTTGAAAAATTCCACCATTTCATTTGCTATCTCCTTTTGATCAGTGAGTCTTTGTCCAAGGTTGTTGTAAAGAACCAAAACCCTGTTATGATGCCTGTTTGCTTTGATTCTGGAGTGGAAAAAATTTGTGCACCTATCTCCTTGCATACTCCAAATAATCCTAGCTTTTTCCTGCAGAAAAGAAATTTCACATTCTAGGAGTTTGTTGTAGCTTGTTATACTCTCCTTTTCCTTTAAAATATAATCTGAATTGAGAGGATCTAATTGCAGATTATTTTGAGCCTCATCAAGAGCAATTTTTGCTCTAATAACTTGCTCACTGATATTACTATAGTGGTTCTTGTTTAATTCCTTAAGGGCACCTCTCATCATTTTGAGTTTCATGCAGACTGAGAACATTCTGTATCCCTGTACTTTAGTTTGCCAGATAGCAGAGACTGTTGGAATGAAGGTAACGTGCTTAGACCACATTTTAAAGAACCTGAAAGGTTTTTTTCCCCATTGAACATTCCTGGAACAGAGATCTTAGTACATTATGATAAAGAGAGAGAGAAAACAAAAATAATAAAATAATCCTCATCATATTTTAAATAAAAAAAGAAAGAGAGAGAGAAGGGTATTATGGTCTTCACATATTTTAATCTCTTGGGTTTTGTGTTTTGAAGACTCAGAGAATAGAATCTTTATTTTTGGGGGTAAAACACACATTGACCAAGTCTTGGGGGTGGGAAGCACGTTTCCTTAGCTTTTGGGGGCTGGAAGCATTTTTCCCTAATTATAATAGTCATAACCATCCAAAAACAGAAAAAGAATATTAGATCGGAGAATCCAGAATAAATTTGCGGCATCAACTATACTACTCAATTTGTCTGATTATCTAATATTCGGGATTTCACTTTGAATATTACTAATTTCTAGGATCAAATAGAAATTTATGTTTCTAGTGTTTTTCCCCCCATTTCTAGTTTTCACCCCTTTTTAAATCCAAAGATGTGGATGATATTTAGATCGCATGTCATCAAGCTTCATTGCGACCTAACTATTTTGCCTAGTTGTGTCCTGCATGTTAAAACCTGTACGTGAACCCTAAACATTTGGACCCATGAGTTCCTCCTTTTGACCTGTCCATGATGAAGAAATCTTTGCTCTCTGCTCATTTGCTCAATGAAAATCTCCTTTACAGTGAAAGTGGTCCCTGAATATTATTAGCCAAGCTTGGCATGATCATGTTCTGTCCTTGTCCATTGCCAAGTTAGATTAAAGAGTGGCCAATAGTTGGATTATCTTTTCCTTTATTTTATTTAGAGATATTTCACATTGTTAAATGAGCCCTGCCTTCATTAAAAAGATCAGATTGTTCAAGAGACAAAAAATAAAACATACATAAATTCAACTACCTGAAAGATTAATATTCTCCTTTTCTCTAGCAAACTCTCGCCAAACTTTCTTCCTCGTAGCTTTTGAAGTTTTACGAGTAGTTTTTCGCGAGCACCCCCCGAGCATCATAATTACGTATTTTTCCAAAATTTATTTGAAGGGTTTTTCAATAGTAGTCCCTTACGTCTTTCATATTTTGCAATTAGTCCCTGAACGGATGGAAATTGCTATTAGTTTGAAATTAGACCCCAAAGCATTAAAATTGTAGAAACAGTGAAAATATTGGAGAAGATCAGGAAATTTGATGCAGACATACATTTGGGTGTTTGCCGGTCGACCATGAGCTTTGGCGCAGTCGACCGCAAACATGTACGACTACATGGTGTTTTTCAATTTTCTGGCTGGTCGATCGCGACGTCAAGTGCGGTCGTCCGCAGACCCTGTAATGTATTTTTTTGGTTTCTTTCGTTCTGTCCGGTTGACCACGACGATTTTGGCGGTCGACCGCTAGTTGGGTTTGAACCTGATTGCGGTTTCCTGTTCTGTTTGGGATTGCTGTTTGATATAAATAGCAACCACGTTTTAGTGTTTCTTGGGGAGCTGTTGTGGGGATATTTGGAGCACAGAAAAGAGGTATTTTCTAGAGCTATTGATTAGAGTTTTGTTTGAGAGATTAAGAGCTTTGTTGGTGAGATTAATTGGTGAGTTTGAGTGATTTGTAATATCAGTTTGTATACTCTTCTTCTCTATTAGTAAAAACTCCATCCTCTTCTTGCCCCGTGAACGTAGGCAACTTGTCGAACCACGTAAAATTGGTTGTTTGTGTTTGTGTCGTTATTTTGCATTGGCTTTCTCTGTCGGTGTTTGTGTTTGGTTCCTCGAAGCACAACGATTGGTGGATTCCACGCACAACAAAAATTGCTATTAAATCCCACCAAATCTTAAGTTATTTCTAGTTAATCCCTCCAATCAAGAGTAAAAATAGGATTCAGAGGGATTAATTTAAAACAACTTAGAGAATTTGGGAATGTAATAGCAATTTCAATGATTTCAATTCACTAATTTGTCTCTATTTGCTATTTTCACTCTCTTGGTTTGAGGGACTAATTTCAAATTAACCTAAGATTTAAGGTACTTAATAGCAATTTCAATTATTTGAGGGACTAATAATAAACAAGAATATATCAGACAAGAGTAATAAGAACAGAATAAAACAGCAATGTCTACGTCACAGAGACACAGAGAGAGAGAGAGAGAGCGAGAGAGAGAGAGAGAGAGAGAGAGAGAGAGAGAGAATAATATTACAAACATTACAACGATCACTGATAGTCCGATACAATAGCAGAAGCAACAATGTCAACATCAAAAAGCCTGATACAAAGTGTGCTCTCAGCTTTTCGCTATATATCTTTAATTATTCTCCAGCATCAATCACAAACTTAAAAAGACAAGTCACACAAATTACAAACCACAATCCGGCACATGAAGTAAAAACACGAAGAAAAGCAATGCAAAAAGCCTTGAGCATGATATTTATTCATCATGATGATCAAGGTTTGACGATAACAGATGGGAAATCAAAGAGCATCACCTTTTCAATGGCAGCGCTAAAGATGATAGCAAACTCGAGATGGCTAGGATGAGTTACGTATGAGGCCAAATCTTCAGAGTTTTTGAAGGTCAACATGAATGCATGTGTGAAGCCTTGCCTCAGCATCTCCTCAGTCCCAACGTCTTGCCCCCTGGATGAATGATATTGATAGGAGATCAAACAAACACACACACACATAGAAATAAATAAAACTAAAGCACTTTGCAATTTATATATAATTAGAATTTATACATAGGTACGTGATGCAACTATAGGACCTTGTTTTTTTAGATAATGATTTGTGCAGACCTTGTCACTCTAGATAACTTAACTAGAGCTATGATGAGAATTGAGTATTATAATTTTATGCTCTAGATAATATTTCGCACTAACTATGAAAAAAAATATGTGCCTAGTTCACGAGATAATGCGTAGGCAATATTTGGGGGCTTCTATGACAAGCCCAAAAGGATTGGGGACTCAGAAATAATGATAAAGTTTTCTCGAAATGGCACAAACTTAGCAGTCTTATGGAAAAATTATGCTAATTAAATACTACTAAAAGATTATGATTGAAGCAGTCAATTTGGAATGGGGCTTGTACCAAAATCGACATTGCTCAATAAAAGAAACGGAGAGGTTAAGAATTAAAAGAAAAAAAAAAGGAATTACCATTCAAATGACTTGACAAGATCCACACTTGAAACAAGCTTGGTCATCCCTTGAATGATATCTTCAACCACAACACCTTCCTTAAACTTCACCAGAACCAAGTGCTTCAAGTCTCCCATTATTCAATGAACAGGAAAGAGGAAGAACTTAGCAAATGAGAAACCAGTGTATAAAGACCACTGTGCCTGGCTAATATATAGTTCTGGAAACTATGCAACAATTTAATATAGCTTTTTTGGGTTAACCGTGAATAGATAGCATCTAGTATCACCTAAATGGGATTAGATCTCTTATAGTTCTATTTATTGTGAATAGACCCTCTGTAATATTGAGCCAAGTACAAATACACCCCATTATTAGCTAGGGAACTTTTTGAACTCTTTTCCAAGTAAAAATTATAGCAATTGGGGCTCTATCTCCACTAATAAAACTATAGAGAGGGGGTCCATGCGCCTCCTCGAAGGTTTTAAATGATTTTAAGAGTCAAAACAAAACAAATTCATTCATGGGGTCTATTAGCAACAAATAAAAATACATGGGATTCACTTGCAATTGGGTGATACTATTCGGAATTAACCCTAGATTTTTCAAGCAACTGCAAGTAAAGATGATGAAAGAGGACAAAAGCAACGGAATAGGGCCGGCCATACATTAGCTGGAAGATCACGGATCCCATTCACTGGCCATGTTTTATTTTTCTCCGTGGGCACTATCATCACATGATTCACATATTAACCAACCATTTTCTTCTATGATTTGCTTTTTTTTTTATTTGGGGGTGATTTCATGGAACACCCTTTAAATTTGGCTGATGTAGAGATAAACCCTAAAGGCCTAAACTTTAAAAATGTCACCTAAACCCACTTCAGTTTGGGTGTTTCAGACATTCCCTTAACATTTTAAAAAAATTTCAACCTCCCCTAGCGATGTTAGATTAATTGGCAAAAAGACCAAAATACTCTTCTCAAATCAATACTCTAATTATTAAATTAAATTAATTAATCATGAAAGACTGAATTTAAGGAGGGTTTTGTGAAAACTACCTTTTAATTTGTTAAAATAGACATGAAAAGAGTTCTTCCATCATGAGCATTTTGGTCATTTGGACAGGCATGACTGTCACATGCATGGTCTAGCAGTGTTACCTAGCGGGGTTATATGACAAAATGTAAGGGAAATGAAGTGATCTTTTTAAAGTTTAGGGGGTCATCTCAAAAATGGAGAAACTTAAGGAGAGTTTTGTAAAATTTAAACCGAAGGGGAGTTTTATGAAATTTGTTGTAGCGGGGGCTTCACAGACACAGAAGAAGTCTATACAAAAGTGGATAATAACAACACTGAATAAATACAGTGCAGATAAAGAGAACATCACACAAGGATTTAACGTGGTTCGGTCAGTATGACCTACGTCCACGAGTGATAACAACAGAGAACTTCACTAATCATAAAAGAGAAGATTATAAAAGAAGATCACTCTAATATCTCACCAAACTCACACAAAGAAGAGAACACTCAAAGAAAACTCTCTTTTTCTTTTTTTCTATTCAACTCTCTTTTTTTTCCTCTCTTTTCTGGGTCTCTGTTCGATGCTCTAACCCTTTACCACCCTCCTCTATTTATAGCCTTCAACAGGGTTGGTGGAACAATATTTTTGGTTGGTGGAACAGTAATAGGGTTGGTGAGTTGAATTCAACTCAAATAACAAACTCCACCTTGACTTTGAATATGAAGATCTTCTCTTCACTCTTGTTGTCTCGCTAGAAACCCCTTACAGGCTTAACCTCCGCTTTGTTGAACTGCAAGCAATTCGAGACAATGCTCGAACTTGTGCGAAGGTACGAGCTTTGTCATCATATCTGCTGGATTATCTGCCGTACCAATTTTCTCAATCTTGATGACTTTAATTTATTTGATAAAATAATACCTAACATTTATATGTTTGGTTCTTTCATAATACATATGATGCTTTATCAAATGTATAACACTCTGGCTGTTACAAAATACCGTAGTATTTGCATCGGGAACGATTTTTATTGCAGTTTCTGTTACAAATGTTTTAACAGAAACAAAGAGTGAGCCTTAAACGTGTAAAACTTCTCTTTACAATAAAAATAAAATAATTGGTGTTCCCTAGAAACACACACAGAAATTCCTACGTAGTAGCTTCTGCTTGCGTGGAATCTTTGCATGTACCGGGGATGCGTAATCTGTGGACCACCGAATCAACGTTCCAAGCCAGAAACGAAGAAGGTTAAAAGTTGATGTTTCAACGTGAAAATAAGAACTGAAGTAAACATCTTAGTGTGGTAAGATAGATACTCTTCTTAAGATCAAATACAAGTTTGAACTTGAGGAAACACCGAAGAACTCTTGAAGATGCTTGAAAATGGTGAATAACTCTCTCTCTCTTATGCTCAAAGTTCGCCAAACACCAGTGTCTCTCCTCGTTAGTCCGTCAATACCTCAGTGCATAAGTGTGCCAAGGGATATTTATAGCAATTGAAAGCCGTAACCATCGAAAAGAAGTTGAAACAACTGATGATCACTACCTCCTTTAGGCGAGACAGTGTTTACTGTCTTGGCTAAAGGAGGCAGTTCCAGTCAGTTTGTAACCGCCGTCCAACTATTTAAATTGCGTTAAATACCATAATTTTCATGGATAGTGGGCGTATTTTATGGCTATAATCGTCCATTAATGTTAATGAACATTTCCCAGCAGTTATGGAGCCACATGGATCCCACAAAAAGTCACAAAACCGTCAGAAATCAGGGGAGGCTGTCTCGCAGTTAGTGAGATAGCTGCCANNNTCGCCTATGCGAGACAGTCTACACTATCTTGGCTATACGAGATGGTGTAGACTATCTCACCAACTGTGAGATAGCTCTGAGTCTCTTTGAGTTATCGTTTTGCGTGCTCCTTTGCTTCTTTATCCATTGGCTACTCTTCTTTGACTTAGATGATGACGTTCTTCGTCTTCTCTCAGTCTTGAGCTGTGTTTGGGACCTATAAGTAATTTTTGACCCCTACACATAGTAACACCTTGATATAAGTCAAGATCTCCAACCAAATCTCTTAACCAAATGGTTTCTTTCACCGCTTCTATTACTACCATATACTCTACCTTTGTGGTAGACAAAGCAACTGTCGACTGTAGAGTCACCTTTCAACTAATGACACTACCTGAAAGAGTGAATATATAACTGTTGGTGTTAATAATCAAACAAATATTATAATGAGGGTGAGGTTGATTAGGGGCCTCTAACTTCTCTGAATATCTGATTTTGAGTTGAGTAGCTTCAGCATGCACAAATAGCAATTCGTGAGAGGATGATGACTAGTTCCCCCATTGTTCCTCCGATGATCAAGTCAGTTGATGGACTTGAGCGGGAAAGTAATGAATTGTGCGAGTTCTAAAGTGTAGTGGAATTTTGAGAAATTACTTGATATTGCTAAAAATGGCTTTAAAATGAATTACTCTATTGCTGAGAATAGTACCCTATTTATAGTGGTGGCATAAGGGTAGAATGGTAATCCCGACCAAGTATGGTATGTTAGTCCACGTCAGTATCTGCTTTACAAGTCACGATCAATGAGTGGATGAGAAGTCACTTCAGTATTAAATGCGAAGCGATTGGGGGCATAGCGGTGCCGACGTGGTCCAAGGAGTCATGAAGACTAGGGGCTAGAGGAATGATGGCGCCTGCCAAGTATTTAATGTGATGCCGATGTGTTATCAGCGGGGGAGGCTTAAGATTGAATTCGTCATTTTGCTTGGCCGAGAAGTAACACCTTTTGAGTCGATCCCACAAGGTGTCGAATAATTGGTCGAGTGGGCGCGTAGCTAGTCGTCTTCGACAAGAGGACCAACAAGTACCACCCTTTGAGTCGATGCATGGAGATATCGACTCGGTGAGTCGGCTAACTTGGGATCCTTGATGGTCCTGACCGTCAGCTTGATTAGAGCAGTGTATGTAGGGGGACACATGTCCGTTGCTGGTAAAGAACCATACTTTGGCGATTAGAAATACCATAACAATAACTATTCAGGGATCGTCTCTTATCCAAATCGTCCGCATAATCCGAATCAGAATAGCCAAGTATTCTGTAATATGAGTTTGTATTCCTACCAAAATATAAACCAATATTAGCAGATCCTCTTAAATATCTAAGTATCAATTTCACAGCTTGCCAATAGATCTTTCCAGGCTTTTCCATATCCCGACTCACAACACTAACTACATGTAAAATATTTGGACGGGTGCAGACCATAGCATACATAATGCTTCTAACTGCACTATCATAAGGAACACAAAATATGTACTGCTCCTCCTCTTCAGTCTGAGGTGACAAATATGCTAAAAAACGAAAATGAGCAGCAAGCGGAGTCTTCACAGGCTTGGCATCAAGCATGCCAAATCTCTCCAACACCTTCTTGATGCATTTCTCCTGAGATAAGAATAAACTTCATTCTCACCTATTCCTGTGGATCTCCATCCCCAAAATATATTTCACTGTTCCCAACTCCTTCATCTCAAACTCACGTTTGAGTTGAGATTTCAACTTGTTAATTTTTAACATATCTTTAGCTGCAATCAATATGTCATCAACATACAAAAGCAAATACACAAAAAATCATCATTGAGCTTTTTATGATAAACACAACTATCATATTTACTCCTAGAGTAGCCATGCTCAAACATGAAAGTATCAAATCTCAAATACTATTGTCTCGGAGACCGTTTTAAGCCATAAAGAGATTTCTTCAACCTACACACATGATCTTCTTCACCTTCAACAACGAAACCCTCTGGCTGATGCATAATGATCTGCTCTTCAAGCTCACTATGTAGAAAAGCCGTCTTCACATCAAGTTGCTCAAGCTCCAAATTAAAATGAGAAATCATGGCAAGCAACACGCGGATTGAGATGTGTTTTACAACTGGAGAGAATACTTCATTGAAGTTCACACATTCCGGCTGACTATAGCCTTTAGCTACCAAGCGTGTCTTGTATCTTACAAATCTGTATCCAACGTTCCTTCTTTCTTCTTGAACACTCATTTACAGCCAATGATCTTTTGTCCCCTTGATGGCTTCACTAACTCCCATGTCTGATTCTTGTGAAGAGACTCCATCTCTTCAATCGTCGCTGTAGGCGTCAAAAATTACCTATAGGTCCTAAACAAAGCTCAAGACGAAGAACGTCATCATCTAAGTCGGAAGAGGTCATCCGATGTAAAAAGAAGCAAAGGAAA